TGCCTTAGATTAGAATTATTGCTCCTCTTTCAGGAATGTAAGCAATATTGAACATAAGAGTATTTCCTGCCTAATGAAAGGAAGCTTTGATCACACTTTAACAATAATTTCCTTGCCATCTGAAACATCTCCCTGCAGATCATGTCTCTCTGACAAATACTTTCTCTGGAAGAGAAAGTAGCTTTTGTGCTATTTTTCCTTTCCTTTCCTATATATAAAAAAACAATCCTCTCTTTTTCTCTGGGAATTTAAGCATAAAGAGAATGAGTCATATGGAATCAGTGTGGCCTGATCTGGTATCCTGACCTCTTCAATTCTAATCTAAGTTGGAAATGGATTTATGAGGCATGTTAACAGCTAAGATTCAAGGCCAGAGCAAGGCTCCCGCTGACTCAGTCAACTATCTCCATTTGTATTTTCATTGACATATAGCTCTAGAAAGATCCAGACCAGGAATGTGGTTAATGTAGAGATGATGCTAACACAACATGCAGAGATGGGATTTAAAAGGTGGGGAAAACCCGCAAAAGTGGATTGATTTTGACACACATCGCTGTTAAAGTATAGTTACCCCGAAAAGAAAGTAGAATCGTAGAGTTGGAAGGACCACAAGGGCCATCCAGTCTAACCCCCTGCCATGCAGGAACTCCCAATCAAAGCATCCCTGACAGATGGCCATCCAGCCTCTGCTTAAAGACCTCCAAGGAAGGAGACTCCACTACTCTCCGAGGGAGTGTGTTCCACTGTCAAACCGCCCTTACTGTCAGGAAGTTCCTCCTAATGTTGAGGTGGAATCTCTTTTCTTGCAGCTTGCATCCATTGTTTCGGGTCCTAGTCTCTGGAGCAGCAGAAAACAAGCTTGTTCCCTCCTCAATATGACACCCCTTCAAATATTTAAACACGGCTATCATATCACCTCTCAGCCTTCTCTTCTCCAGGTAAACATACCTAGCTTCCTAAGTCATAGGGCATGGTTTCCAGACCTTTCACCATTTTGGTCGCCCTCCTTTGGATACTCTCCAGCTTCTCAACATCCTTCCTGAATTATGGTGCCCAGAAATGGACACAGTATTCCAGGTGAGGCCTAACCAAAGAATAGAGTAGTCCTATAACTTCCCTCGATCTTTACAAATCTCCCAATAGCAACATGGCAAGGAGGAAGGGCCAGCCTGCAAAAGATACCCTCCACTTACCATCTTAACTAAGGACAGAAATCTCAAAATGCAGGCATCTGACTAACATCTCCAATTGTTTTTCTCCTGTTTGGTTTGTAACATCTTGCCTGATGAAGAAGCCAGTGGAGCTTCGAAAACTTGCAACAAGTATATTGTGCATTTTGGTTGGCCACTAAAGGCATCACTGTTTGGTGGATTTTTGTTTGAATTTGCTAAATGGCCAACACGGCTACCCCTGCATGTTCCCTTGATCTAGACGCTGCACTTTTATCGATGCAGCCTAGAATCGCATTGGCTTTTTAAATCTGTTGCATCACACTGTTGACCCATGTTAATAAAATAGCCCTCAAACACATAACAAGATAGAACCACATTAAGTCAAGAACGGTACCATTCTGCCATTGGTTTATTTCTTGGGATGTCCTGATGAGAGGAAATGCAGCTATTTGGGGATACAAATGCTAGTCTGTTGCTCTAGGTCTGGCATGGGCAACCTGTGGCCCTCCATCTGGCATCAAGCAACCATTAGCATAATAATGGTCAGAATCCCTCTGCAGGTGATCTATGGATACCACCTGTCCCTTTTCCTGCAGCCCATTCTCTGGGGAGAAAGAGAGCCACAAGAGTTTAACCAAGAGAGAAGAGAGTGGACTGACTGTCTTATCACATTGCAAACAAACCTGGAAGGCAGCGAAAGAAAAGCTTTTTCCTATTTCATTCTCTTCCAGTTGTAAAAGCGTGGGAGGGTGGTAGCAAAAATGTTGGCTTTGCCAAGCTGGAAAAATCCGTTTGGCAAAAGGGACGCTTTTACGATCCTCTCCCATTCTTTTATAACCAGGAGAGAAATAATGTGTTTTGATGTCATGTGGCAAGAGAGAAACAGAAAGGAGAGAGAAACAGAAATGCTTCTCTCTCGGATTTGTTTGCAATGTGATAACCGCTGCTGGTATTAGCCTTGCCCAGCACCGCCTGGCAGATTACTTTCAAGGGACTTGAAATGAGGGGGGGGGG